TTCATCATGGCTTAAAACTTGAAGTTCTCATGTTGCACATAATCTAAAATCTGCGTCAAGCATTCACAGCCATTGCGGGTAACCATGCCATTTTACATAAAAGTAATTCGGTAGAAGTAAAAGAAAGGCCCATTGAGCTAATGGTGTAAGTGTAATGCATTCACTGACCTCAAATATAAAATTTTCCATGCCTGCGTCATAGCATGTCTTCATATTAGTAGCTATATTTTCCTGCAAAATAAAGCATCAGCCATCAACCTAAAACTCAGCTACTCTGAAACAAAACAAAATTAAAAGTGAAAGATTAAATGTATAAGAGTAACATGATAAAATAATCATAGCAGGAGCTTTGGCTCAACCTGAATTTACCTTGATTTTGTAAACTTATACTTTATAGGATTTGGAAAAAAAATCACTGTTCTCTGTACCCTACTCAAAATACTATAACTGAAAAGGCATTGGAGTTAGGATGTTCGATTTCATGCAGACCAAAGCGCAGGTTAGAAGTGTAAACACAGGCTGTGTTAAACAAACTTTTTGTTGATACGTCTCGAAAAAAAANAAAAAAAATTTTTTTGCTACACATTTCTTTGATGTGGAAAATCCCTACAGAAGAAAAATTTTCCCGATAACTGCTCACGAAGCATATCACAAGTTTAATCGGAAAGCATAGTTTCAAAAGTTGCACTTGATTGCAACAGAATATGCCTATCATTTCACCAACGGTCTGCAATTCAGATGCGAAATACGCTGATTTCCTCAATTTATCACAGAATCACAAATCCAGGAAACCATCCCTTTTTAAAAGATAATCTCAACTGTCTGTAGAAATTTCTTTTCACTATTCCCTGACGTCAGTTGACAAAGTAATCATAGAGCAATCATGTGATGATGCAACGGTATTATCGTTCTTGCAAAATGAAACCACTTGCAACCAGCTGATCGGCCCTGAGCAAAGCCCAAAGTACGCTTGATTACAGTACTTTTGAAAAATGGATTTTTCCGAAGTAAATATAAAACTACTCCCACGAGTTCCACTCAAAAAAGCCAAAACAGTTAACATCCATACTGGTGCAAGCAAAACCATTTAAAATGCGCCTACTATTAGTCAGCTTATGAAAACCTGGCAAGCAATCCCTGGCACCAGCAAATGTTCAACTCCGTTGTTCATCCAGGGCGACGGGTTGACGTCCCTTCGTTAAAGAGGTTCCCATTTAGCTATATTGAGAAGAGGCTTGAACACTCAAACAGGGGACAACAACAATATTAAGAAGAGCTCGTAGAGCATCACAACGGCTCCTCGATAGAAACCGTCAAAAAAACCGGTTGGCACATTTATTGCAGCTCTAATGACCATAAGACCAATTCACGGCTAAGCTTTTTGTTTTCATCTTGCCCTGGGACCATAACATAACATATCGATCCAAGACTTACTTAGATTCCTTTGAAGTGTTCAATTTCAGTCCCTCGTCACCAACTCCCTTCCTCACACTTATGCAGCGAGAATTCTCGATGGTAATAGAAAATAGGTGACTAGTGACGACAAAGCAGAACCGGAATGAAACGAATATGGGGAACCATTTATAACGGACAAAAATGTCGAGTGCTCGCGTGAAAGAAATAGCGGAGCCAGTGTTTCTGCGACGTTACTAAAAACTTCAAGTGGGAAAAGGGAAATCAAGGACCAACATCCGGAATACACCTACCTCGAGATCATAGAAACGGTTGAATGTGTGTTGCTGACACAAAATAAAAGCCTACTACAGAAAAAGTCAAAGGTGACTCTTAGATCTGAACCTAAAGACCGTACCGCCAGTTTGCAAAACTTCTAACCGTCTCTGATCGCCTTTTCTGTGAAAACTTCTACTACCTTTGATTGCCCCCATTTATTATTTACCAAGTCAAAGAATTCCTTGCAACCACCACCGCTACCTCTTCAAGCCCTTCATATTTCATTGAACTCTACAGAGTTCCCTCCCGTTGAATCCATGTGAAGTTATTTTTGAATGCTAAGAGTGAAGTCACCCCCACCTTCGTTTGAGTTCCCCCCTCATCAGCCGTTCTCATCGATTTTCGACAATCCTGTGATGAGTCACGGACCCCGCCATTAGCCAAACACTCATAGAGTTCAACGATTGAACGTCGACAAACAATTCGGTCGGTGGCAGTAACACGCTGGTAATTGTAACGATTACTCACCACTCGAACATAACAAAATAATCTCTACTGTGAAATCTTTCACATCATACGGTAGAACGCTGTAAATATCCCTCCGAACAACTAATTAGTTCCATTTAGAGTTTCGAGTTGAGGGTGACAACAATTACGACAAGGAAGTGTTTTTTTTTCGGGTTGTCATGGCATTCGAGTTAAAACGTCCAGGTCAGCGCGAAGACGAAAGATCACCATCTTCTACTGCTTGGCAATTCAGAAGGTGAGCAAAATGAATTATGACGAAGACGGAGAAAGAGCAACTTAGAAAGAATCAGTCTAATGGTCAACGATCTGGAAGACACCTTTGGAAAGCAATCCAGCTTGACAGCCTATTACCCCAAAAAAGACTCGATCTACAGCCATCTGGTTTCTCTTTCCAACTTCCTAGCTTGGAACAAATCAGCAGGCCTTGCAAGGACGAATTCCTTTACTTAATCACGAATATTTAGTGACTTTTGGACCATGAATTTTGTCGCAGACAATAAACCAAAAGATAAGAACGATAATGCTTGCAACACGCATGAGATCGCTCTACACTATTGCAGTACACGGTCAATCCTTTCAAATATGAATACCTCTCTCCAAACTTTTAAATAATTAATATCGAAAAAGGCTTCAAAAAACAATTGAAAATAAAAAACGCAACAAAAAAGCCGAGAGAGTAGAAAAACAGACCAAATACCTTGACTAGGAGCGGAAAATGACCCTTTGTAACCACCCGAAAGCACACAAACGGTGACAGTAACGGTGCAGCTTTTAACGGTACCTGAAACTGTTGCAGTGGGATATTTATAGCTTCAATAGAGGATATGGACAACTCTCTATAACAGTATCTACTAACCTTTTCCCTAAATGCATTGAATAAAACAAGGCCAAGAAGATTGCAGAGGCACTGTGGAAGTACCAGTAAAGCGGTGAAACGCAAAAGGTACAGAAACGTTGTCCAAGTGTATCCATAACTAAAAAATTGCATGGATTATCAATGATATCCATTAATTGCACAGACATCCCATTTGTATGTAGCTTTTGGTAACGAAGAACATACACAAGGGTGATATTGTCAACAATGCTCTACGCTATTAATCAAATGAATGCGGATTGCGGCCGATGCATCGAAATGCAAAGAAGGAAAACAAACAACATAAAGCCAACAACTACGAATAAATAAAAGGAGGTTGTTCTAGGAGGAGAAAAAATATCAAAACTGCAAGTTAATTTTACGAAATTAAAGGAATAAAAGAAATTAACTCAAACAAATTAACTTGCGTGTGGCCTTGTTGGCCTCTAGTTCGACGCCTAGGTGTTACAGAAATAAAATAAAGAAACCTAAGTGAGTAAATGGCAGAGAATCAGTTGTTCGGCGTGTTGCAGGATCAACCAAACCCTAGCCGCTTACTTCAAAGTCAAAGAGGATCCCCAAGGGGACTCAAAAATAAAAGAGAAAACATAAACAAAACAAGAATGACGGAACTGACATCAAAACGCTTACCTTTCAAAAGGGCTCAGTGTTACAGTGGAATGAGGTTCAGTGAATACGCCACAAAAATAAGCAAATCCTAGAATCCAACCGAGCAAAGCTGCACAATGCAATGCATGCTTTGTTTCACAGTTCATTACCTCTGCCCTGGAATACGACATTTTCAGGTAAAACGGCATTTCTTCGAAGGTCATGGCGAAACGTTGTACACTGGAAGGACGAAAATGTCAAAATTCAAGTTCAAAATATGTCACGATAGAGGAGAAGTGGAGAAAGGTAACTACATCAAGTTAGTACGACCACACTGACGACTGCAAAGATGCGTGTTTACGCCTTCTGTCCGCATAACGTTCTCTTCAAACAGAGGGGAAAAAATTCAGGCCTAGTAGTAGTAGTAGTACTGGTATTATCAGTCAAAACAGGGCACTCACAACAAGAGCGGCGCAGAGACAGAATGGGCTGCGCTCCTGACTTGGACGCCCGCAACCATAATAACACACTCGTGTTCGCATAGACAATAGAAAAAAGCAGCGGGCTGTTTTAGACTAATGAGTTCGATTATTCCCTCTCTTTGCCATAAGCATTTCGAGGCTTAATCTTATCCCATGGTTCTCTTATTGTACAGTCGCATGACGTAGTTAACGGGAGAGAAAGCCATAAGGGTTTAGTACCTTGATAGGATTGAGCATTAAACCTTATGGGGAAAGATTTATTACTATCGAGTGGGGAAATATGTTTCATTCGGGGGGAAAGTATGGGTAAAGACAACACCCAGTTTTATCGAACAATCTATTAAAATTATTCAGCAACAGCAATCAAAACGCGCACCATTACCTTCGTCACATCGCTATGCTTTCCCGTGAACAAGCCCATTCTGCTGCTGTGGCACTCGTCATCCTCCAAATCTAGCGAACCAACTTACTTTCGGCGCGAGATACTATCTCAGAACCTCCTGCTTAGGAAGGTTGTGATTTCAGAAAGCCTGATGGGGACAGATCAGCTAAGCCCAGCGAATGATCGAGCGGCTCCCAACCACATTATTCAATTTAATTTGGAAAGACGCAATGAGACTTAACGTGGTCGATGAGCTCGAAAACCAACAAGTTGCCTCCGTCCTCTCTAAAAAAGGGACATGCGTGATGTTGGAAAATGGAAAACGAATGCATCGAGGTGCTCTCAGGAGAACTTCGCCGATTCTCCCAGAAAAAATTCGCCTCAAATTCAGGATTCTTCCTACTAGACAGAACATCTTTCAATATATTGGGTTCATAGATTCCTAATGAGAATCATACATAGACTGAACGTGATACCAATGCTGGATACGAATCTTTACAACGCTCAGCATTACTCAGCTATAAAGTACATAAGTTTGCTGCTCAAAAAACAAGACGTTTTGATGCATAACGGCTTGCATAGCAAGTGGGTAAGCGATATGAGTGTCCGGTGGCCGACGAGGCGGAATGCTCAAAACAAACATAGAGGCAACTAGCCGCAAAATAAATGCTGGGTGCTTTTGCAGCATTGAATGTGCCAAGACTGCTGGGCTTCCGCCCAAATTTCGCTATATTGGATTCGCTAATCACGACAATTACGTCCCTTTAACAGTCGTTGAAGGACAGAACCGCGGAACTAAGGCCAACACGACGTCATCCAGTAGCTATAACGTTTTTAATGGTCTGGAAAGCCCCACACTTGACGATCCTAACAAATATGAACATCATAAATGTAAATATAATCAAAATTAGTAGTCACTGAAAACATTGTAGCCGATCAAAGTGAACTTCATTCACTCTTTGCAACATTTGGCCGATTCTAAAACAGACCTCAGCTAAATAGATGCTAGGTATAACCGGTTTATTTCATCACTAACACTACTATTCATGCAGGGGCGTGGGCGATCGAGAATGAGCAATATCTATCCACTCTTACAACAGTAATTGAACCGGCAATTAATACTTCACTGCTTCGGCAAAGTGAAACCGAGTAATGTTAACCATTTGAAAAACGCGACTACTATAAGCAATGGATGGAAGGTGAAAATGAACGACAAATAAGGAACATAAGCTGAAGAGGCAGTGGAGATTGATAGGAAACCTCCGGTTTACCACCCTTACTTATAATTATTACCATTCAGATCCAACATCATCCTTTCCAGTCCGGCTGACACACAAAGTATTTTTAAGATCTATTTTTAAGATTTCCCCGAACAGAAAGGAAGTTCTACAAAAACCCCCAACCCTGCAAAAGTTGTTCCCGTCGTGAAATTTGAGACTTCCCTAGCTTAAGGGGAACCTGACCCGAGGAAATCAATCTTCTGCAATCAACTGTATGAGTGCAAAATAAATAATGCACACATGCTCTAGCTACTTCTGCAGCTAAGCTCACCACAAAAACCATTCCATTTATGTCGCTCTCAATTATGTTGGAGCAGTAAAGTAACCTTAAAGGTGAAGCAAAAAAAACCACCACCTAGAATCTCGGAAGGCGTCGTGCAGCGTAACCGCAATAGATGCGATTACGAGCTTCGTTAACTACCAACAAGGTATGTGTAACCGTTCGCCACAACTGACTGGCCGTGACCGCTGACACCGTCGACACCATGCCGACACAGGTATGTACACATACAATGAACCTATTTGGCGGNGTGAAGCAAAAAAAAACCACCACCTAGAATCTCGGAAGGCGTCGTGCAGCGTAACCGCAATAGATGCGATTACGAGCTCCGTTAACTACCAACAAGGTGTGTGTAACCGTTCACCCACAACTGACTGGCCGTGACCGCTGACACCGTCGACACCATGCCGACACAGGTATGTACACATACAATGAACCTATTTGGCGGAGCGTAGGCTACTATGACAGACTAAACTGATACGGTAGACGGAATATCATATCAGTTTAGTTTCGCATAAATAGACGGTCATCGATACCGCGCCGATGATGTGAGATTTTCAAAAATATGTTTTGTTTGCCGACCAAACACAAGGTCAACCTGGTCAACCACTTCGACGATTCACCGAGCACATGAGAAAGCCACATTCTTCAAGCCACATTTGCCAATTATATTTACTGTTTGGTAGCACCTTTCAGAGGCCCATGATCGGGAAAGTTCATTTGCCGTTGAAAGAGCTCCGTACCCGGTTCGTATGGCATTTTCTCCTGTTTCGACTGAATAAAAGTCCTTTGAACGATTAATGTCTTCTTGTTAGATGGGAAAGCCTTTTACATTGAACCAGGAACTTGAAACTTATGCAAAAGCTGCATTTAAGGACAAAGGTAACCGAGGCTAAGCCAGCACCACTACCTACGGCGAGGGTCACAAACAAAATCACCAGTCCTTATAAGGAGCAGGCAAGATTCGGAACCATGAGAGGTGGGAACAGTAAAATTAAATGGGCTCATTTAAAATGCAGCTTTTGCAAAAGTTTCAAGTTCCTGGTTCAATGTAAAAGGCTTTTCCATCTAACAAGAAGACACTGATTGTTCAAAGGACTTTTATTCAATCGAAACAGAAGAAAATGCCTTACGAAGCGGGTACGGAGCTCTTTCAATGAAAAATGAAATGAAAATGAATTTTCCCAATCATGGGCCTCTGAAAGGTGCTACCAAACTGTAAATATAATTGGCAACTGCTAAATCTCTGCACTTTGGTCTGTTTGCACTATTCGGATCGTTGAATTACCACGAATTTCTGCCGTTACAAGGGTTCAAAGAGATAAGAGGTCTTACTAAGAAAGAGCAAACTCATACTGCAACTGTGCCTATTCCGTTAAAAGCATCTAACTGTCAGCATTCCTTAATCGCGGTTGATAAGGCCCAGTAACCCAGGACTGTTTCATTGATGTGTCTCGAACCGAGCGGATACATATGATGCTCTTCGAAATCCTTGAAAACATGGAAAATGGCCGACTAGTAAGCTATTGGTTGAGTGTTGAGACCTTTTGGTTTCTCGCGGAACTGAAAGGACGGATCCTTGATTCAACTCGCCTTAAACTACTACCTACTTTCAACCCCTATAGTTTCAATACTCACTATTTCACGACGAATAGTGAACGTGAGCGAGCAGAGAGCAACGTCGTATTTATGAGCTCTTGTTGTGAAATAGCCTCTACTCAACAAAAATCTAATTAAATTGCATGCGGACTAAATGAGTGTCCAAAAATAAAAAGCGGCGCTCGACTTGGCATGCAGAATGCAAGGAAAAGTCCCGATAATGGTTTATACAACTTCCTTTGAAATGTTCCCTCAACTAAATAAGCAGAGAGTGTGCAGTCGCTCAGCCTTTTCAGCCATTTTTTGTTGGAACATCACGAATATCGAAATTGAAAATGAAAAAATAGAAAACTTGAAAAAGAATACTAAAAATGAACAACCCAAGGCAGAAGCTGTCGCACAGTGTAGCACAACCAAACAAATAAAACCTACTCCAACTAAACCGATCGGTATATCTTCAGAGGCCGCAAAATAATGTGGCTACTAGTTAATAGAGATAATTGCTTGCGTCTACTCACCGTTGAACGGAACGACCACTGGAAAATGAACGGAGAACGCGAAGGCTATTCATTGCATACAACTCCTGCCTACTGTTATGACAATTTGCATGGGCGTTACCCTACTTCCTTAAGGGGTACAGGGAGCTTTTAAGAGATCAAATATCTCCAGACAGGGGCAAAAGTAGAAAACATGTTAAGGAGTTTGAATCAATCCGCAGGCAGGGGCTCCCAGACTTTGAACTTTTACTAGCCTTCGATGTTGTTTTGCGATTTGCGCTCATAAACTTCGTTGATTCTATGCCTATATTTCGGTTTCCAAGTAACTGATTCATTAATATCGAACGTTTAATCAGGACTCCAAAGGATCAAACGTAAACATCAACATTTGAGCTCTCTGACAAAACTACGTCAGGTATCAAATTTCCCAGAAGAAATTGAAATTTTTTTTCGAACTGGAAGATGCTAGGTACGGATAATAAAACGAGTAAAGCATTAGATCGTATAAGAATAAAAAACCAATATTTAAAAGAGTGCAAGATTTTCTTGTATGTACATCCAAATTTTGAAAAAACAGGTCTCCGTGAACAGAGGTTAAAAATACAAGAAAAAATCCAGGGAGAAAATATGGAGGGATACAAAGTACA